CAGCCANGGCCATGGCTCCTGTGGCGAGTCCTCCCCGCACACAGCCGGCAGGCAGGCGCCATGTTTGAATCGCCAGCACCTGACTCACACCTTTGGCCCCGCCCCGTGATTCCCGGAGGCCCCGCCCCTCCCCACCTGCAAGCTCATCCAGGCCATTTCCAGGAGCTTTTCTGTGCAAGTGGACTCTAGAGCCTCATGCTTAGAACTTTTCTAAAATCTCTCAAACAAGCAGCAGCGGGCCCCATACGGCTTGATAAGCGGCCCCAGGCCTGGCACTAGCGGCAGCTGCATTGGCTCATAGCTTGGCCTCTCCTGGACACCTCCAAGCCCAGCACAAGTAGCAGCCAACTACGGTTTGCTGTGTAGCTCATGCTGGGTGGCCCTGGGCAAGGCACTGGCACAGGCTGACTTTGCACCTCCCGGGAGGCCCCAGAGACAGTGCACCTGGTGGTCAGACTCGACCACGCTGGATTACAACCCTACCACATCCACGAGTGACACACTCAAGGGGCGCACCTGGTGAACACCAAAGCCCCACTGAAGTAAATCCTGCTCCACAGGGGTGTCTCCAGCACAGCAGCTCTTTGGATGTAGTTGCAGCTGGTCCTCACATCTGATTGGCCGGGGGGGTCAATTCCTCCCAGGGATGCCAACAGCAACCAAGGCTCAACTACAACAGGACAGTGCACACAGCCCACACAGGGGAGCACCTAGAAGGCCCAGCTCAGGTGACTGGGGAGGCTGAGCCACTGGACCCTACAGGACACCTACTACACAAAGCCACTCTACAAATTCCAGGAGACATAGCAGCTCTACCTAATACATAGAAACAAACACCTGGAAGCAGCCAAAATGTGGAGGCAAAGAAACATGTCACAAAGGAAAGAACAGAAGAAATCTCTAGAAGAGGAACTAAATGAAATAGATCCAAGCAAGCTAACAGATACAGAGTTCAGAATTTTGTTTATAAGGATGTTTAAGCAGACTATTAGGGAAATAACTGAGAAAATCGATAACATAATAAAGTACCAATTTGAAATGAAGGCTACAGGAACTGAAATGAAGAATAATTTACAGGGAATCAACAGTAGAGTAGAGGACGCTGAGAATCAAATCAGCAATTTGGAACATGAGGAAACAAAAAACACCCAACCAGAAGAGCAAAAAGAAAAAAGAATCCAGAAATATGAAGATAGTATAAGGAGCCTCTGGGACAACTTCAAGAGGCCCAACATTCGTATTATTGGGGTGCCAGAAGGGGAAGAAAGAGACCAAGAAATTGAAAACCTATTTGAAAAAATAATTACAGAAAACTTCCCCTACCTGGGGAAAGAAATAGACTTACAAGTCCAGGAAGCACAGAGGGTCCCAAACAAGAGGAACCCAAAGAGGCCCACAGCAAGACACATCATAATTAAAATGCCAAAGGTTAAAGACAAAGAGAGAATCTTAAAAGCAGCAAGAGAAAAGCAGTTAGTTACCTACAAGGGAGCACCCATACGACTGTCAGCTGATTTCTCAACAGAAACTTTGCAGGCCAGAAGGGAGTGGCAAGAAATATTCAAAGTGATGAAAAACATGGAACTACAACCAAGATTGCTCTACCCAGCAAAGCTATCATTTAGAATTGAAGGTCAGATAAAGAGCTTCTCAGACAAGGAAAAGCTAAAGGAGTTCATCACCACCAAACCAGCACTGCAGGAAATGTTGAAATGTCTTCTTTAACAAGAAGCTAATGAACAAAAGAATCTGACGAACTAAATAGATCCAGAGACATTGACACATGCAACAGACAATCATATTTCAGAGGGAAGAGGAAAGGAGGGTGGAGGGTGGGAAGAGATTAACCAAAGAAGTTATATGCATATGTGCATAACCCACGGACACAGTCAATAATGGGGTGAAGGCCTGGGGAGAGGGTGGGAGCGAGGTGGAGGGGGTTAATTGGGGGTGAAAAAAAATGGGACACCTGTAATACTTTCAACAATAAAGATAAATTTTAAATAAATAAATATATATATGAAGACTTGACAACTAAATGCAATATGAGATCCTGGAACAGAAAAGGACACCAGTGGAAAAACTAGAAATATTCAAACTAAGTCTGGAGTTTAGTTAATAGTAACACACAAATTGGCTTTCACAAATGTATTATGGTCATATAAGAAGTTAACGGGAAACTGGGCAGAGGGTATGTGGGAACTTTCTGTACTATCTTTGAAACTTTTCTGTAAATCTAAAATTATTCCAACATGTTTTACTTTTTAAACATGCCCCTTTTAACTCATAAAAGTGTCCATTTTGTACCACAAATTATATGATCAATTGGTCATAAGCCTGGCCCTGCCCCTAACCAAGAAGTCTTATGAAAATTACCCATGCCTTCTTTCCATCTTAATGACACTAACTGCTCACACATTCACAGCAATTTAAGTTTACGAAGTTTAGAGATTCCAAGATGTGCTGGTTAGAGCTTTGGAATCAGAAAGCTAGGGGCTGAAGCCCTGGTTCTCCCACTTGCTTGCCAGGTGGTCTTGGGCATATTACATTCCTTCTCTGGGTCTGTTTCCACATCTGTAAAATGAAAGCACTGAATGACAACAATGACAAATAAGACTTGCTGAGCCTTTACCAGATGTCCATCACTGTAGTGGATACTGTCATGTGCCACCCAGTTTCCCCTTCAGGACTGAAGGCATTATTTCTACACTCCCCTGCCCCCAGCTGCTCAGAGTGCTGCCGGCGGTCAGCCCTGTCCAGAGATTGCCCTTGGCTGAAGAGAACCATCCAGCCTCAGGTCGTGCTCCTCTCCAGAGGGCAGCCTGCATCCAGCCAAGAGGATGTAAAGATCCAGCTCCCTCACCTCAACTTGGGACGACTCTGAAGGTCATCTCTACTGCAGCACACCCCTGTGGTTGGAAAAAGCCTTTGTGGGGACTGCCCGTCTCCCTTTGCCCAATCCTACTTCCCTCCCTTCCCCACAAGTGTTGATCCTTAGAGCGCCCCCCAGAAACTCTCTGCACACTAATCATCTCGAAGTCGGCTTCCCAGGGAACTCATCCCATGATGGGACTGTGAACCAACCACTGGACCTGCACTCATCTTTCTCAACCCTCAGACCAACCCCATTTTAATAAATGACACAACTGAGGTTGAAGAAAAATACTGATTTGGCCAAGAACATACAACTGAGAAGCGGTGGTGCCACGGATGGGGAAACCGAAGCTCAGACAGGCAAACTGATTTGCCGGGTCTCTGAGCTAAAAGACGGTAGAGCCAAGGTTTGATCCTAGGTTTGCTTTACACTGAAGACCGCAGTGCCACAGCCATTTAGAGCCACCAGCGGGACTGCTACAGGCACCAGTCAGGTAACTGCCTTTACCACTGTCCTGCCACACCCCCTGCTATCCCTGCAGTTCACTCCACATTTGCAAAAAGGGAACAACAGTGCCTACCTCATCAAGATCTGTTAAAGACAGAATGGGTTTATATATGTAAAGACCTCAGAATGATGAATGGCACATAAGGCCCCCTCTACAAGCGATAGGTTAAAAATAAGTTACGTAAGCAGCCTAAAGCTGCTGTAAGACATGCTAAGATGTCAATGTTTCTGAGTGATAGTTGACCTGTGACAGGGGGCTGGGCCTCATCAGCTCTTTAAGTGGTTCAAGCTTGACCTGAGCTCTGAAGGAGAGGTAGGAATCAAGGGGCAAGAGGAAAGAAGAGCAGCCCAGGCAGAGGAACCAGCGGGAAACAGAGCCCTCTGGCAGAGAGACAAAGAAGATTGATATAAGGCCAGGATGACTAACACAGCGAAAAAAGCCAGGTCCAGGTTCAGAATGGTAGAAAATTAGGCTGAACAGGAATGTAGGAACTAAATAATGAAGGGCCTCTTACTACACGGGTGATTGGGGACAAGTCACCTTATCTCTCAGAGCCTCACTTGGCTCATCCGTAAACTGGAAATAAAAATAGTATCAATCTTATAAGGTCCTCAAAGAGACTGAACGAGTCAATATTTGCAAACCACTTAAAATAGGGCCATGCACACAGTAGGCGCTATAAACGTTTAAAGACAACATTGGAGTTTTTTCTGAAGTACAATGAAAAGACATAAAGGGGTCTGAATACAGATGGAAGGTGGGTGGAGGGACACTGGGCTGGCAGATGGGTAGGTGGCCGTGGTTGAGTAAAGGGCAGTGTGGATGGATTGTTGGATGGAAGTACAGTTGGGTGATGGAGGTGGCTGGCTGGCTGCCTGGATGGCTGGCTCGTTGGATGGTTGGATGGCTGGGTGACAGGGTGAGTGGAAGTGGATGTTTCTGTGGATGGAAACATGTTTGGATATTAGGATGGGTGCCTTGGAAGCAACTGAGTGAATGTGGGTAGTTGGCAGATGAGGGGACGGATGGGTGGTTGAAGGGTGTCTGGATGTTTGGATAGATGTCTGGGTGGTTGGGTGGCTGGAGGTGGAAGAAATGGTTGGGTGAACGGGCGACTGGTCAGATGGATGTTATAGAGATTGGCTCAGATGGATAGAGGGGCTGAGCGAATGGAGGGGTTGTTCAGGTGTGTAGTAGAGAAGTTAGGTGGGGTTGGGTGAACGGATGGGTGACTGGGTGGTTGGATGGGTATCTGGGTGGTTGGGTGACTGGATGGGTGATGGACAAACAGAAAGTGGAATGGGTGGGCGGGTAGGCCGGATGTTTGATGAAGAGTTGGTTGTTCAGGTGGATAATAAAAAGGTTGGGTGAATGAAAGGATTAAGTGTATGGAGGGGTTGGTAAATGGGTGGATGGGAGTAGCTGAGGGAGGGAGGGAGGCAGGGAAGGAACAGGTGACACCAGATCCTGAAGCGCCTCCAATGACCTCTCTAGAGGTGATGGAGGACGCCCTGCCGGTAAAAGAAACAGAAGCAGGCTTGGAGAAGGGCGTCCTCGGTGGCCGGTCGCAGGGCCCGTTCCTCAGTGGGCCACCCACCCGTGCGCACCGGGTCCTACCTGGAGGCGGCGATCTCGGCCTTCTGGCGCGCTATGGCGGCGGCGCGCTGGGCGCCCTCCATGCTGTGCTCCACCTTCTGGCGGACCTTGTTGCTCTTGAGCGGCAGCACGCGGCGCTTGGTGCCTTTGACCAGCACGTTGTGCCGGTACTTGCCCTCCTCGCGGTGGCCGTCGGGCAGCGTGGTGCAGCCGTAGCCGTGGCGCAGGTTGTCCAGCCACTCGCCCTCGTAGCGGAGGCCGCTGGAGCGCTCGCTGACGCCGAAGCCCGAGCGCTTGTCGTTCTTCCACTCGCCCATGTAGGTCTCCGTGGTGGTGGCATCGATGTCGGCCTCGAAGGGCGCGGCCTCGTCGGCGACCTCGCCGCCCTCGCCCAGGCTGGCGGTGGACGCGGCGTCGCTGGCGCCCGAGCTGAGGTCGCTCTTGA